CCAATTAACCAACACAGCTTACTAAACACCATAAACCACAAACTAACAGCAAGACTAAGAAAAGAAAACCCACGGTACCCAAACCGAATTAAACCAGCTTAAATAACCCGATAATTTATTCTTTTGAAGACTATTGATAAGTCTAACAAAGAAAACATAAAACACCAAAAAAATCGGAAGACAAATCCAAACCAAACAATTTAATTTTTGAGAAAAGGACACAACCAAAACAACAAAAGGAAAAAAACCAGTAAAAAATAGGACACAAAAAGTTAACACGAAACAGGACCCCATAAAAAACCAGCATGAAATCATACCTTCACTCCTGGCCTAACCCACCAGAAGAGGACGACGTCCTGAGCATGCTTAATAGCCGGCCTAACCCACCGTGCTAGAACACACGCTTTGTGACAAACTCCTTATTTTTGATAAGAGGTACTCAAGTGGGAGTAATTTTTTTTAAAAATAACTGAACTAAAATAAAATCTTTTGCGATAAAAACTAATAAAAAATCATAACTAAAAAGAAGAATTAACTAAACATTTATTTATGTAAATTATATAATGCATTAATATAGACCATACACAATCAAGAAGACGAGCATCAAGCAGCTAAGACGACCTCGCCACACTCAACCCACAGAATGGCTGAACACAACCGATATGCAGCTCACAACCACAACTCAAAGGATTTGAAGTACGACTTGACTCCGAAGCAAAGAACTTCATTGAAACAGACCAATGACCACCTCGATGTTCAAGTATACGTACAGATCCGAGTTACAGGGCATTCCCTCCAAACTCGAGCTTCACGCCATTCCCAATCCAGATCGAAACACAGTTCTCCACACCGATCAAGAACAGACGATCAAAACAAACCAATTGGAAATCAGATTGATTTTGTTGACGGTCTCAGTCATCGTTGAATGACAAAACAGCCTCGATGGTTCCAGCTTCCTGGAGCTCACACCTCCAAGGTCGGAATAGAAATGGTGCTCGCAAAATACAAACGATCATCATCCATCCTCCATTACAGAAAGAAGTCAAAAGAACAAAAAATCTGTAAGCCCCGGATGGGTGGAACCTGATCCAAAATATATATTATTATTGGTTATAAATTAGATATTTTATCCCTATAAAATATTATAGACTAACCAATTACACTCCATCTAACTAACAACCCACTCATTTGTAAGTGCTGAAATTACTTGTAATTTCAGCACCAGAGCAGATTGAATTTAACTTACAACTTAGTTGCCTTTTCCAAGAGACCGACTCGTAACAAAATCAGTTTACTCTAGATCTATTGAGACTAAAAGATATAAGAGGAAGATTAAGATCGGTATTAGACTAAGAAGTTGCACGAATCTATCCGGCCGAAAATAAGATAGCGTGACGAGCAGACGTTGTACCTTATCTGAAATTACTCTATGAGTTAGAAATCCATCACAACTCAATTGAGCAGGTTAAAACTACGTACTGCGCTTGCTCAAATTGGTGCTCTTTCAGGGAAAAGTTTTCATAATTATTGGATTTATTGCACCACTTGGAAAACAAACTTTTTATTATTGCTGTCCATAGAAATGATCCTCTCTATGGGACCCCTGTTTCTGATTTGAAAAGGGTGATAATTTTACCTTCGATGGGGATAAAATCAAATCGCAATCCTATATCGAAAGGCGGCATATCTAAAAGAAAAAGGAATTGCTTGTTTCCTTCATTATTTCCATTCAAGTATTCTACAATGACGAGTGCGAGTGAACTCATATTCAGCCACGTGAACAATACTGTTTCCCTGTTTTATTTTGTAGGACTGCGTCTGTGGTGCGTGTGTTGCTGAACTAAATTTTCCATATACTTCATTCATGCTGCGGCCATATTCTCCCTTACTCCAATTTATAGAGTCACTTAATAAAACAACACGGCTCTTTTTATCAGCTCGCAATTTTATGAAATCGAATATTATACGGTAAAAGACGCGGTTGAGTGCGCGGTTTTCATTTGTACAAATTCTCTACAAGTCATTTTATCAACGATAAATTATTTTTAAATACACACGTCTTTTTTGCACACGAAAATTTTAAATGTACGCTGCGCGTTCATTTTCTTAGTAAAAAATGCTATACCGTGATTGACTGAAAAAGCTAATCTAACTATCAAAAAATGGGGTCAAGGGCAAACATTCGCTATGTCAAACATCCGAACTTTTACATTAATTAAGTAATAATTTGTCGTTAAAATTTCAAAAACAAGTTGGTCTGTCATCAGTTATCCAATTTAGTCCAACTTTGTCGAATCTCTGTTTAAGGTCGCCGGTCGGTTTAAGACCGCTATCTTACAGATTGATATGAGTTTGATTTCAACCTAACCTTGGTTGAGCAGTGTTTTCTAAGGTACCTTGAGGCTTCAAAAAAAAGAAAAGGTCTTCAAAAGAAAAGTTTTAATCTAAGGAATTACACGAACTTGTTCAGCCGAAAAAAGATAGCATGAAAAACACAAATTGAAGTTATGATAGAAAACTATTCTGTAAATCTATGGCATCCTCAGTTTTGGCTAAACTTTCGACGCATTTGAGCAAAGCACCCTCCACAAAATCGACCAAATTAACTAAATTTTGTCCCAAAACTATAATTCAAAAATTACAGTCTAGAAAAATACTACTTTTTATTCAAAATTTGGCTGAGTGAAAAACAAATTGAACGATTTCAAGTTTGCAAAAATTGCTATTTTTATTAAAATCAATTGTGTTCAAAAGTATTCAATATTTTTGTAATAACACTGATACGCAATAAAAGTTTTTTTTTGAGGCAAATAATAGTTTTTTTGAGGCAAGTAGGAAAAAGTTCATTTCGTTTCAAAAGCTTTGTGAAACTACTCGTTTCTTAGTTTGGCACAGTTTGGCCTCGTAATGTGGTTGGCTCAAAAATAAAAGTTTGTTCCGTCAACTAAAACAACTTTATCACCTCTATACCGTGTGGGGGCTCTCGATCATTGACTCGTTCCAAGTTTCTTAAGGTGTTATATTTTATGCCAAGAACAAATTGGTGTTGCATTGCCTTAAAAATTGATAGTAACGCAAATTTCGTGAATAGAAACTGATAACTTTTGTTTTCTATTTTGACAATAACCGATATCTATGCCAAGAAGGAAAAAAAACATAGACAAAACGATAACACTGATTGTCAAGAAAACCCACGGTACCCAAACCGAATTAAACCAGCTTAAATAACCCGATAATTTATTCTTTTGAAGACTATTGATAAGTCTAACAAAGAAAACATAAAACACCAAAAAAATCGGAAGACAAATCCAAACCAAACAATTTAATTTTTGAGAAAAGGACACAACCAAAACAACAAAAGGAAAAAAACCAGTAAAAAATAGGACACAAAAAGTTAACACGAAACAGGACCCCATAAAAAACCAGCATGAAATCATACCTTCACTCCTGGCCTAACCCACCAGAAGAGGACGACGTCCTGAGCATGCTTAATAGCCGGCCTAACCCACCGTGCTAGAACACACGCTTTGTGACAAACTCCTTATTTTTGATAAGAGGTACTCAAGTGGGAGTAATTTTTTTTAAAAATAACTGAACTAAAATAAAAGCTTTTGCGATAAAAACTAATAAAAAATCATAACTAAAAAGAAGAATTAACTAAACATTTATTTATGTAAATTATATAATGCATTAATATAGACCATACACAATCAAGAAGACGAGCATCAAGCAGCTAAGACGACCTCGCCACACTCAACCCACAGAATGGCTGAACACAACCGATATGCAGCTCACAACCACAACTCAAAGGATTTGAAGTACGACTTGACTCCGAAGCAAAGAACTTCATTGAAACAGACCAATGACCACCTCGATGTTCAAGTATACGTACAGATCCGAGTTACAGGGCATTCCCTCCAAACTCGAGCTTCACGCCATTCCCAATCCAGATCGAAACACAGTTCTCCACACCGATCAAGAACAGACGATCAAAACAAACCAATTGGAAATCAGATTGATTTTGTTGACGGTCTCAGTCATCGTTGAATGACAAAACAGCCTCGATGGTTCCAGCTTCCTGGAGCTCACACCTCCAAGGTCGGAATAGAAATGGTGCTCGCAAAATACAAACGATCATCATCCATCCTCCATTACAGAAAGAAGTCAAAAGAACAAAAAATCTGTAAGCCCCGGATGGGTGGAACCTGATCCAAAATATATATTATTATTGGTTATAAATTAGATATTTTATCCCTATAAAATATTATAGACTAACCAATTACACTCCATCTAACTAACAACCCACTCATTTGTAAGTGCTGAAATTACTTGTAATTTCAGCACCAGAGCAGATTGAATTTAACTTACAACTTAGTTGCCTTTTCCAAGAGACCGACTCGTAACAAAATCAGTTTACTCTAGATCTATTGAGACTAAAAGATATAAGAGGAAGATTAAGATCGGTATTAGACTAAGAAGTTGCACGAATCTATCCGGCCGAAAATAAGATAGCGTGACGAGCAGACGTTGTACCTTATCTGAAATTACTCTATGAGTTAGAAATCCATCACAACTCAATTGAGCAGGTTAAAACTACGTACTGCGCTTGCTCAAATTGGTGCTCTTTCAGGGAAAAGTTTTCATAATTATTGGATTTATTGCACCACTTGGAAAACAAACTTTTTATTATTGCTGTCCATAGAAATGATCCTCTCTATGGGACCCCTGTTTCTGATTTGAAAAGGGTGATAATTTTACCTTCGATGGGGATAAAATCAAATCGCAATCCTATATCGAAAGGCGGCATATCTAAAAGAAAAAGGAATTGCTTGTTTCCTTCATTATTTCCATTCAAGTATTCTACAATGACGAGTGCGAGTGAACTCATATTCAGCCACGTGAACAATACTGTTTCCCTGTTTTATTTTGTAGGACTGCGTCTGTGGTGCGTGTGTTGCTGAACTAAATTTTCCATATACTTTATTCATGCTGCGGCCATATTCTCCCTTACTCCAATTTATAGAGTCACTTAATAAAACAACACGGCTCTTTTTATCAGCTCGCAATTTTATGAAATCGAATATTATACGGTAAAAGACGCGGTTGAGTGCGCGGTTTTCATTTGTACAAATTCTCTACAAGTCATTTTATCAACGATAAATTATTTTTAAATACACACGTCTTTTTTGCACACGAAAATTTTAAATGTACGCTGCGCGTTCATTTTCTTAGTAAAAAATGCTATACCGTGATTGACTGAAAAAGCTAATCTAACTATCAAAAAATGGGGTCAAGGGCAAACATTCGCTATGTCAAACATCCGAACTTTTACATTAATTAAGTAATAATTTGTCGTTAAAATTTCAAAAACAAGTTGGTCTGTCATCAGTTATCCAATTTAGTCCAACTTTGTCGAATCTCTGTTTAAGGTCGCCGGTCGGTTTAAGACCGCTATCTTACAGATTGATATGAGTTTGATTTCAACCTAACCTTGGTTGAGCAGTGTTTTCTAAGGTACCTTGAGGCTTCAAAAAAAAGAAAAGGTCTTCAAAAGAAAAGTTTTAATCTAAGGAATTACACGAACTTGTTCAGCCGAAAAAAGATAGCATGAAAAACACAAATTGAAGTTATGATAGAAAACTATTCTGTAAATCTATGGCATCCTCAGTTTTGGCTAAACTTTCGACGCATTTGAGCAAAGCACCCTCCACAAAATCGACCAAATTAACTAAATTTTGTCCCAAAACTATAATTCAAAAATTACAGTCTAGAAAAATACTACTTTTTATTCAAAATTTGGCTGAGTGAAAAACAAATTGAACGATTTCAAGTTTGCAAAAATTGCTATTTTTATTAAAATCAATTGTGTTCAAAAGTATTCAATATTTTTGTAATAACACTGATACGCAATAAAAGTTTTTTTTTGAGGCAAATAATAGTTTTTTTGAGGCAAGTAGGAAAAAGTTCATTTCGTTTCAAAAGCTTTGTGAAACTACTCGTTTCTTAGTTTGGCACAGTTTGGCCTCGTAATGTGGTTGGCTCAAAAATAAAAGTTTGTTCCGTCAACTAAAACAACTTTATCACCTCTATACCGTGTGGGGGCTCTCGATCATTGACTCGTTCCAAGTTTCTTAAGGTGTTATATTTTATGCCAAGAACAAATTGGTGTTGCATTGCCTTAAAAATTGATAGTAACGCAAATTTCGTGAATAGAAACTGATAACTTTTGTTTTCTATTTTGACAATAACCGATATCTATGCCAAGAAGGAAAAAAAACATAGACAAAACGATAACACTGATTTGCAAAACTGTATGAATCTTGCATTTTTAAGTGTATAGAATTTTATGGCAAGCATTATAGTTCTATGGAGGTCAACCCGTGTAGTAAGACTCAGCTTTGCGTTGCACAGTCTTAGAATTTCATCAATGAGCTTATTTTTTGTTGACAGTTTTACAATATAGACTACTTATCACTCATTGCGGTCTTCTCTACATACCAAATTATACTTCAAATTGACAAAATTTACTCAATAATTTACACCTATTGATTATTTGAAATATTCCTGCTTTCGAAATATTCTTTCGAAATATTCCTGCTCGTTGATTTTGTTAGTGTGGGAACCTCAATACAATATGCAATATTATGTCGTCGGGAGTTACAGCAACGACGATTCCTGCAATATATGGCGAGCAGCATCGGTGAGCTTTTTCAACAATATTTTTCCTTAAGATTGCGATCGATATCTAGTTTGGTTGAACAAAAAATTCAAATAGTTTTCATATATGAAAAAGGCTATAGCGAAACCATAGGCATAATATTTTATTCATTTGAAAAGGTAAAAAAATTGCTAAAAAATCTATGATTAACCGTTTACCATTTAGAAGAATCCCTAAAACTGATATTATCTCGTTTTTTTTTCACTGGCGTTTCTAGAATTTCCTCGAATACGGGGATTCGAATTATTATTATTTTTTTAATCTATGCTCATTTTGAACGCCAAAAAGGCCCATTTAGGCATAAATTATATGGCGCAAGCGTACATTTTTAAAAATGAGCCAAAATTACCGTTTTTGAGCCAAAAATTCTGTTTTTGAGTCAATGAAGGTTTTAATTTGAAACTACCAGCAAATATTTTGGTAAATTTGGCTAACAGTGGTGAGAACATTATTGTTCCGACTTTCGATACGAAAGTAACGGAATACTTGTGCTCGGGGTGGGTTTTTTTCAGACAAATTTCGACTTTTTAACTAGCCATTTTTGACGGTAATTTTTACATCATTCAAACGGTATTGTTGTTTTGAGCTCAAATTTTAAAACATATTTTACCAATCATCATTTTTCGTAAAGTTACGGGGGTTTAAAGATTGCCATTTTGGCCAATTTGGGACAATTAACGCGCGATATATTTCGCGCTATTAACGCGTAAGTGGAGAGTTAATCCGTCTTAGAAATCGTTCCAAATTGGTTGAAGGACGCCTATTTGTCATAATTGGTTTGCTACAAGGAGCAAATTAGATTCTTTTGTACTGTATATGGGGTGTGGGAGGATGGTTTTCATAAAAAGTTTTAGAAAATTTTTTTTTCATTTTTTTTAAAATTTCATTTAATTTTTTAATTTTATTTTTGCTCCATAAACCTTAAAAGGCAGTCGGAACAATCAGGGCTTCGCCCTGATACAAGCAGTCTTGTTAGGAGGCAATGAACAAACAAAAGTGAAATTAAACGCAAATTCAGAGTTTTTCTTTTAAAAATCTCTCTTAAATTGTCCATACATCAACTCCTTTGAGTTTTAGCTATTTTTTTTCATAGACCAAGAGCAAGGCATCAGAGCTACCCTCTATGAAACTATCAATTTTTAGTTTCAATTACTTACCAATGTAATCCGGGCCTGAAAATGCCAAATTTTTCAGCTGCACTAACTTGCATCGTAGTGAACACTTTCTTTAACAAGCGGTGTAAAATAATCTTGTATACAACATTAAACATTCTCAGCGAACAAGTTGCATTAATCAGTGCGAAACGTTTATTGATCGTGGCAGTTTTACAATTTATCACGCGGATTGAAACATTTAGCGCATATGAAGAAACTTGACTGTTTCAGACTCGTTTTACGTTGGCAAGTCTTTGAAATCAAATTTGATGGTTTATAGATGCTAGCTCTGATGTTTTGCTCTTGTTCTAAGTAGAAATTTTCCTGAAATTTGAAGGTCATGAAAACAGTATCGACTTCTATGAATTATCAAAGTTTTTTTCAAAATAAAAATTTTACCTAATGAGCTAGTTTTTTTTAAAATTGGAATAATTTTATTAGAAGAATTGTCAATTATAAGTTTTTTAGAAATTCAAAGAGTTTTCAGTGCATTTTTTTATTCGAATTTTTTTTTCAAAAAATAAGTCTATTTACTTGTTTTGTATTTTTTTTGTTTATTTGCGTTCATTGACTTTTTTTTCAATTTTGTATGTTTCATCAAAACTAATCATTCATTTGGCACAGTTCCTTTCTCAAGCCCGAGCTATGTCGCATAAACGTGTTAAATAGGTTCGTGAAGATCATTTGTTGAACTCTCTAGTTGAAAGCAAAATGTTGTTATAAAATTGAACTTTGTTTCTTTTTAAGGCACCAAAATGGATCCGACGCAGCAGCAGATGGTCCGATAGAGGGTACGAAGAGAGACAATGAGAGAAAGTGCGAGAGAAGATCGGAGGGAAAGGGGAGAAGAATGATGTGCTTGACGTCTTTGGTCGTGCTCTACCTGGCCGAGGGGATCAATGTGTCGGCCACCGGACCATTCTTCCCCATCGAGGCAATGGAAAAGGGAGTGTCCCAGTCGATGGTGGGAGTGATCTCTGCCATCACCATGTTCGCCATGTGGCTCACTTCAATCACTCTCCTCTTCCTCGCATCTGATCGGAACAAGAGGCCACTCTTCTACTTTGGACTGTTCACTTCAGCTGCCACGTGTATTCTCTTTGGAGAGTTGCAGCGTATCTCCGACACACACCTCTTCATCGCTTCCTGTCTCGCCACTCGATTCCTCATGGGTGTGGGCTGTGCCTGCATTTGGGCCACAGGCGCACCCATCCTCATCCCATTATTCCCAGGAAAAGCTGGCAAAATATTTGGTTTGCTCGAGTTCTGCGCGGGGTTTGGCCAAATGGCCGGTCCTCCTTTCGGAAGTCTTCTGTTCTCGATCGGCGGCTACAGTCTTCCGTTCTGAGTAGCCGGATTGATCGAAATCGTAGCCGGTTTATTCTGCGTCGTATGCTTGTCTCTTCTAGACAAGAAGCAACAGAAGATAGAAAAGAAATCCCAAGTACATCAGTCGTCTTCGAAACTAGAAGCTTCCTCTTCGGTGATCCATGGAAGTACGCGGTCTCTCCAGACACCGAAGGAGGAGCAAAACAAGGTGTCCAGGACAGCTCTCAAGTTCATTTTTCACCCGGGAATAATTCTGGTGTCTCTACCTGTGCTGACAATCATGTGTGAGGTCGGGTTCTTTCAAGTGGCTCTTGCACCCTACTTGCTGCAAACTTTTGCAATCGACGGCACTTCGTCTGGAAACATTTTCCTCATCCACGCCGCAACTTCTGCAGTCACATGTGCTCTGTTCGGAGTTCTCGTCGACAAAGGATTCGCTAGTGTCTCGTTTATTGTGTGCACTTGTTTGACTGCATTTAGTTATTTTCTTTTAGGTCTTCCTCTCTTAATTACCAACTCACACCATTCGCAAGAAATCACTGCTAAACTGCTCCTCTATGGTGGCCTGGCACTGCTGGGCCTAACTGCCAACGGAGGCTTCGTGCCCGTATATTTCCTTTTTGAAAGAATAGCCCAACTGGCCAAAATTGACTGTCAGTCGAAGATCCGCATCTACGTTTGCACCTGGCTGAACTCTTGCTACGCAGTGGGCAGTATTTTGGGTCAAGTGAGTATAAGTACTGAGGATTATTACTTTTTTCCTGATGAACAGTAAACATGAAAAAAAACTTAAACTGATGAAAAAAGTGAGTTTTTTATTCTGCCCCTTTCGGACCGGGCTATTCTCATGCCCAAAGGACAGAATGCGCAGAACTTCTCAACCAATCAATGCCCTGCTTTAAACTGTCATAATATAACTGATTTTTTTGCTTATTGATTTCGAATTTATGAATATTGAAATCCGATTGGCTGACAAAATTTTCGCGCTTTCGGTCCTTTCCACACGAGGGAGCTCCGCTACGTATCAATTCTGCTTAGTAAAATCAACTTAATTTGCAATTAACTTGATAAAAGCCTGTTTTTAAAGAAAGCATTTTTTGTTTCAGATTGTAGTCGGTGGATTTTTCTTTGAAGCTTTCGAATTCTACAGAAGCTGTCTGTTACTGTCTGTTTTGGCTTCTGCATCCTTTGTTGCTGGACTCTGTTACTTGATGCATTCCGGATTGTTGAAGAGGGCTTATGACAATGAGGATGTAAATGAAACGAAGACAGAGGAAACAGGACAGATCAAAGTGACTAACTTACCAACTGAAATTGATGCCTAACAAAGTTTTAGAAGATACAGTTAATTTTTTTGTTTTTTAAAGCCAATTTTCAGAGCCTGTTTTGGGGCGATAATCAAAATGCAATATGACTTTAAAACTGTAGTTTTATCTGTTGGATGATAATGTAGTAGTTTTTGACCGCGTGTTTTGAAAGGATTCTTCTGAATTCCGTTTTAAAATTAAACCATTTGATTGGTATGAGCTAAGATTAGCGACTGGCTAATGAGTAATCAATTTTGTCAAAAAAAGTTTTTTTTTTTTTTTAAAAATACAGATCATCATAATCTAGATTGATATAAAATGAGCTAAGAAGTATTCAAGATGCACCAAAACCATGTTCCAATCAACCAGCAAACTAGACAGCATAAAAAGTAGAATAACCATCAGATGATAATTCTGTCCATCAGCAAATTTTTTTGACCATCAGCAAAACAGTTTTAAGCTATACTGATGACTATCTGATGACAATTTTTTCCATCAGAGAAACATTTCTAGATTTCGCAAAAACAAGCAGTTGTAATTCATATATTCTATGTTCTAAATCTTAGCAATTTTATGTTCCGAATCTTTGTGGCCGCAAGTTTGTTTTTACCTTCAGAGTTTTCATTTTTACCCTCAGAGTCTTCCGAATCATTTTTAGATGTCTTAACTGTTTCAGTGATGTGCTTATATGTTCTACTTAAAAAGAATTAGAAATTTATGTTTTCAGCAAAAAATTGATTAATTTTTGACCGAAGTATCCACTTTTGCATTGCTACAAACTATCGATAACAACCTAAAATATCTTGTACAAAATAAATGCCATTAAATCTTTCACAAACAGGTCAAGCAATTCTGTCTCTGAAACGGCTGAAAAAAAAGAGTCAACAATTGTATTTGGAGGGCTCCAGTGTACTTTTTTGTCAAACAGTTGTTGAAGAAAGATTGGAAGATTTTTTTTTCCTAAGAAAACTTACGCATTTCGCCGATCTTTTTCAGTGTAAATTTTAATTGTGATTCTACTGATTTGAAAAAAAAACAAAGATAGCCGTTTACTGCACACGTTTTTTCCTAAGAAAGTTCACGCATGTACCTGAAGTTTTTCAGTTTACACTTTAATTGTGATTCTACTGATTTGAAAAAAAAAACAAAGACAGCCGTTGCTATGCAAGTAGTAACACCCGTTTTTCCTAAGAAAACTTACGCATGCCCCTGAATTTTTACAGTCTACATTTTAATTGTGATTCTACTGATTTGAAAAAAATACAAGGATAGTTGGTTACTATGCAAATAGCACAAAATGTTCCGACCCTAGTCATTAAAAATTAAAAAGAATTTTTTTTTCAAATTAGTGTAAATTTTTCTGGGTGGTTTGATAAAAAGATTTGACGTAAAACTATTATTTAGTCATATTTGACGATTATAGTAATATAGACAAACAAAAAACAGATTTTGAAGAAAAAGAACCAAAAAAGCTAAAATAAATCTTAAGAAAAACATTTCAAATTTTTTTTTTCAATTTTTGCAATTTTTTTTGAATTTTGGAATTGTTTGATTCCCGAAATGGCATTGAATATCTTCAAAAACTAATTTACACAATTAAAATTAAAGCTAAGCATAATAAGTGTTGTAAATGGCCTAAATTAAGCATAAGAAAGCGTGCTCGCTTGCTTTATTAGCTCAAATTCAGACGACAAATCAAAATTTTCAAACCAGTTTCAAAATTTGTTTGATAATTTTTAAGGTCGCTCGAATCAGTACTGAAATAGCGGCAATATGATATATCGCTCAGCCCAAACCAATGTTTTTGAGGTACCTGATTTTTTGTGTGGAAAATACAAAAAAAACAAGGATAGCCGGTTACTGTGCGAGTAATGACCCGACCATAGTTTTTGAAAAACTGTATAAAAAAAATTTTTTTTTCAAAAGAGTGAAGCTTTTTTTCGCGGTAGATGATAACAAAAGTCTGAAGTAAATTATAATTTAGGCATATTTTACATTCATAATAAAGAAAAGCAATTTTGACACAAGTTTTTTTTAAAAAAAATGACTAGAAAAACAAAAAGTATAAAACAACTCAAAATATTTCATTTTTTATTTCAGAAATTTTTCCAATTTTTTAAACTTTTTAGCTCTCAAAATGGAGCTACAAAACTCCAAGAACTAATTTTACTTACTTAATGTTAAGTGGTTTAACTTCCGCTTAATTAATCTGTTGTATGCCTGATCGTTTGTTTTATTTGCTCAAAATTAGACATAAAATCAAAATTCAAACCAATTTTTTTCAAAATTAGAAAAAAAGTTGAGGGAATTTCTTAAAATAGTTCGAGTCAATAGTAAAAAATGCTTCAATATGATATATCAATGAGCCCTACGATGATTTTTTGTGGTACCCGAATTTGCGTGGAAAACCAACAAACAGAAGAAAAAACTAAAACACACCCGAATACAAAGTTCATCTCCATTTTAAATAGTCGTTTTTTGTAAGTAGCAACTTTTTAAACTATTTTTATATTCTCACTCTAAAAGTGAGATGGACAGCAAGGCAATTGATTATATTCTCACTCTAAAAGTGAGATGGACAGCAAGGCATTTGTCTTTAATGAATTCATTTATGATAAAACATTGTTGAAATGGAGTTTTGGAGAAATTGTAAATTAAAATTTTGCTCGATCCAAATTTTAATTTAAGATTGAACTTTTTTTTTGCAAAGTTAACCGAAAATTAGACTTTGTTAGACTGGCTTCTATCGTAAGACACCGACGTCTGGTAATTTTTTTTGTGTGAACACAATTTTTCCCAAAAAACTCAGCTCTCACATCAACTTAAGATTTCGATATCTTTAAAGATAAAAATCACAATTGGTCTGAATAAAAAAAACTCTTTGTAGCAATAATCTTTCGTCAGTTTTCTCGAAAATCGAAATTATAAAATGTTGTTTATAATTAATTGGATGAAGCCTCTACTTGATCTTTTCGGCGGCACGATATTAAATTAATTCAGAACTATTTCAATTTCAGCTAAGACCCTTCATAAACAAAATCTTCGGCAAAAATGTCAAGTTTGTCAACTTTGGTGATCAATCGATTATAACATTTTTCGCAAGCAATATTAATCGATTATAATGGGTTTTCATGGTCTGTCTCCATAAAATTCTAAAATAGTCAGTTAAAAATAAATCATAATCGATTATGAAACAAATAAAACAGAAATCAGTTTTATCCATTATAATCGATTATAACGGTTATAATGGGTTATGATGGATTATAATTGATTATAATGGATTATAATAGATTTTTTTGGGTAAGAACCTGGTTTTTCCATCAGCTTGAAATCGAATATTCAAAACTTGAAAGTTGCATTTTTTAATTTGTATTTTACATTTGGCTACAACAAAAACTTGTATGATTTTCTACTTGTTTTTTTTGCACTTGTCCTTATTCCTAAATACTTTCACTAACTCCCACCATTCATACTTTCTTCCTTTACCACCCCCTCCACTTCGCCACCACTTACCCCTTACTTACATTTACCGTAAAAATACCAGAAAAAATACCCTACGCGTGCCACCTACCACCCCCCTTGCCACCTATAAAATTTTATGGAACTTTTTACGTAGCAACTGCACTAAACAGGAAATGCAACAATTTTGAAAAAAAACTTGTATATTTCATGACTAACATCTCAAAAAAATCCATTAAAAACCGATTATAAAGAATTATGTTGGCATAAAAAATTATAAGAAATGTAATCCATTTTAAATGGATTATAATCGATTATAATGGATTATATTGATATAAAAAATAATTGATTTTAATCCATTTTGATGGATTATAATCGATTATTTTTGTAATTTTATAGATACTGACTATCAATTGACAATATAATGGATTATATCCATGGAACCCCAGTGCGGGGGGGGGGGGGGCTGTTGTTGAGAATAGAAAAATTGGGAAAATTATAGAGATTATAATCCATTATAATCCATTATAGTGAATTTAAGAAGGATTATAATGAACTGAACTTTTTTCTCTAAAAATAATGGATTATATAAGATAATAATCGATTGCGTGGTCCCAACGTATAATTATAATAGATTATAAAGCCAACAATTTTTTTACTACGAAAATCAATTTAATCGATTATTATCCATGGAACTTCACTGCGGGTATGTTAGATAAAAGTTAGCAATGTTACAAGAAGTCTGATCACATTTCTTGATGCTTTAAGTATGGTATTATACTTTCTTTGCATATAATTTACAACCTTAATCATTGACCTGTAAACAGTATCCAAGGGTAATCTCACCGAAGGTTGATTGCGCTCTTATTATTAGGACTTTCTGAGGACTTTTGAAAACAAGGTTAACATAATTGAGCAGTGAATAAACTTATTCGTCAAATATTTACTTTGCGATACTTGTTTGCAAAGCTAATCTGAAAACTCTAAAAAAAAGTTCATTTTTGAAAAATGTGGTATCATATATTGGTTATTTTGTTAGCTTTAATTTCTAGTTTATTTTATGTGTCACAGAGTAAATTTCGCAAGGGCAATTGTTCACCCTATCGGACCATTCGTCCTTTCAATTGGACAGACCTAAATGGCGCGTGGTATGTGATAAAGAAATTTCCGAGCTTCCATGAGAAACACATGAACAGCTGCATGGAGATCCATATTGGAAAAAGAAAACCAGTCAATGATACCAGCAGTTAGTGCACTTTTGCTGATATCTTTTTAAAATAAACAATGAGAAAAAAGCTAGTCGGTAAATTTTTTTCATGCTAAGTTCGCATATGATTAGAAGTTGATATGGCGAAGTTCCATAGCAGAAACTTTTTTCACACTCAGTCAAAAGCGGATTTAAGTGAAGGGAACCAAAAGGTTTTACTTGGTTTTAATTCATGGCATCCAACTTTGGCGGTCAACCCTATCAATTGATTGGATGGGCGCTGGATAGTGTTCTGGATAGGCGCACAATAAGCTGTCTGTGGGTCACTGGAAGCCAGAGTCAAGTTCTGAAAAAAACTTGTTCCAAAATGTAAATAGACTCCCCTTACAAAAATTCCGTAGATTCCGCGCTTAATTATGCTTAACGTAAATGTTGTCGGCCCATTAGTTTTGTC